GTCTCGCTTTGCCCTGCAGCTGGCTGGGTTAAGAGCTTCTCTTGGTCTTTAATTCCAAAGTTACACCCCTGGTGCGATTCAGTTGACCTCTCTGCTTCCCCCTCCGGGACTCTGAGCACAAAGCATCGGGATATGTGTATCCTCTGGGTCTGCGCTTTCAAAAACAAACTCTGTTTTTTCTTTTTTTTTTTTTTAAATCTCTCTTATCCTTTACAAATGTAACGAGTGCAAGCCATCTTTTTAATGAAGCGAAGCTTGCACAGCCGGTGCCTGTGAAACGCCGCTTAAACATCCTCAAAGTGTTTGTGAGAACATTGCAATAACAAAGTGCTCCGTGCGGCTGAAGAATGCTGCGGGAACAAAAGCCACATCAACAGAGCAGGGACTGGGGAATACTAAATAGTTGACAGGAATTTTAATATAAAACTCTCTCTCTTCCTTGTCAGTGAGGGTTTTCAGGAAGCCCTCTGGCTTATCGTAAAGCGGCATACAGCACAGACAGGGGCTGGGGAGGTGAAAGGTGGCTTCCTGCCATTCTTCTCTGGAGCTGGGTTCCCATGGGCGGTCATGCCAGTTTGACTGTGGTTTGTTCCACACTTGTGTGATACAAGATCGGGATTACGGCTGCTTCGGCGACTGCGTTTTCATGGGCTAACAGCGAGTTTAGGGTTTTCCAGCCATGAACCGCTTCAATGGACTCTGCAAGGTGTGCTCGGAGCGGAGATACAGACAGGTCTGTATCTCCTGTGGGAAAAAAAAAATCTGCGTGCCAGCATGTGCGCGCGCGTTGCTGCAAGTCTCGGTTAAGTGTCTGTGGGCGTTCTTACCATTTCTGGGCTCTCTGTGTGTTGGTTCTAGGGTGTTGATTTGCTGTTGTTACCGATTGTAAATGATAATATTGGGAATATAAGGAAAGCATCTTCAGATCAAGTGTCTCTGGCTGATCTCTGCCCGTTACTGCAGCATTTACTGTGTAACTTGAGGGCGGCATGCCGACGATGAAAGCGCTAAGCGGCGAGGTGCTGTCGCAATTTACCACTCGTTAGAGGAGAGGCAGGCACTGCAGACATCTAAGTCTCTGCCAGGCTGCTGCTCTCTCTTTTAAAAATTATTTTTATGTGAATGTATTTGGGAATGAAGTGTTGCTTGAAGCTTGTTACAACCAACGGCGACTTGCTGTATGAGAAGTAGATCACTGTGCTCTGTAAAAGCCAGCGCAAGTTCCCTTGGACCTGCTCCGCGTGCGACGCCGGGTGCTGATTTTGCTTGTGCAGGTCCCAGTCTCCTGCACTTTCGAACATAATTTTTCCCCTGGATAAAATTTTTATAATTTTATAATATAATAATTTTCCCTGGTCTGGATTGGGGGTCCCGGCTCATGGTCAGCTTTTCTCTGTGCTAATCTTTCATGTCTTGCTAAAGCTGTGGTGGGGGAGAGTGTACATTGGGAATTGCATAAAGAGCCAGCTTCAGTAAAAATGCCCTCTTCTTATCAGGGCTGGAGTGACTGTCTCATGCAGAAATGCTGCTCTGCTTTGTATTAATGACAACTGACAGTGATTTGTGTCTTAGACCTCTTCAAGTCTCTATTTTGACAACTTGTTCTGCATTTTTTGACAAAGGTATGGGTACAGTGAGCCTCTGCGGTGCTGCAGTCTCATCACCTTGACACCCACCTTCCAGCTTGTGTCAGATGCTCTTATTTCTTGGTTCTGTGCAGAGTGGCGAAAATGGACGTTCAACTCTCTGTAATGGCCGTGGTGGTGGGAGCTGAGGAAAGTGAACCATCAGCAGTGAGAAGCGGCTAGTTAGTGGCACAGGGAAGGTGTCTCCGTTGGCGGCGGACAAGAGCTCAGGGAGAAGGAGCGGGCGACCTCTCGGCACGGGGGAGGCTTTGGGCTGGGAAATGACCGCAGAGCCTCCGTGGTGGGAGAGATGCTGGGCTGGCTCCCGAGGCGCCAGTGGTAACAGTTCTGCAGGACTGGGATCCCCCGTGCTCTGTATTTGAGATGTCAGGTTGGTTCAAAGGTGCAGAGCCACAAGCAGCATCCTCCTCTGCTTGAGGATCCAACAAACTTCAGAGAGAAAAATACTCAGTGTAGTGGGACTGGACCTGCTTTTTGATCCTGGCAGGGAAAGACAGTTTCTCTTTTGAAGCCTGATTTTATGCTGAGCAATCGAGCAGGGACAAGGCGCAGAGAAATGAAAGCTCGCTGCGTTTGCCCTCCCGTGGTAAAGGAGCGAGGAACCAGTTCCTCTCCTTGGCACCTTCTCCTGAGTTGCTGCTCTTCTCTCTGACTGTTTGTTCTCAAAATAATACAGGTCAGATGTTGGATTTTCTTTTTCTTTTTCTTTTTCTTTTTCTTTTTCTTTTTCTTTTTCTTTTTCTTTTTCTTTTTCTTTTTCTTTTTCTTTTTCTTTTTCTTTTTCTTTTTCTTTTTCTTCTCTTGTCAGTAAAACAAGGATCTTGACAAATGTCTTGGGGGATAATCAGGTATTTACAGGACTGTCTTGCTGAGCCGTTGCTGGAAGCCAAAAAATAAATATCATTTTATTAATAAGCTCAATGCTTCTTGAATCAGGAGGAGAAATGAGCCTAAATCAGCCCAGCATCCACCCCCTCCAAATTCAGTAAGAGAAAACGTACTCACCCCAGCTAATGCATACGGAGCCCACTCCAGCACAGATGCCTTGCAGACAGGAGTGCGCTGATCCTCGCGGCTTCTTCTGGAGTGCTGCTATTTCTGTATTGCCCAACTGAAAATGAAATGTTTAAGTGACTTGCTTAGAGAAGCCGTGTTAGAAATCAGCGTCAGAGCCAGACTACCAGATTTTCCTTTCTAATGGCTTATCAGACCTTTCCTTACACTTGCAAGAGTCGTGAGTGGAGACTAGTGTTTGCTCAATAAACACTCATTTTGCAGCATTCCTCTCTGTTGATCCTCGGCTTGATTTCTTATTGCTTTTTAGCACCCTTTCCACCCCGCTTTGGCTTCAGCAGGGCAGAGACCTGTTGTCCACGGGGTTCACAGAGTGACAGCGTTCACCGTGACAGTTCCTTTGGGCTCTGTGACCACTTCTGGAAGTGCCCTGTGTCTGCATTTCCAAAGGTTGTGGGGTGGCACGTGGCTGAAAGGGGGGATGCTTGCTGATCATACGCAGCGGCTGCTTTTCCACTTAACAGGGTGACTCCGGTGTCTCTCTTCAGATTACAATCCCTCGAGGAAGCGATGGGTTTGGCTTCACAATCTGCTGTGACTCCCCAGTCCGTGTGCAGGCAGTGGACTCCGGTAAGAGATCGGATCATTTTTATCCCTCTTGATTTGAATGAATGACTCTGCTCCTTTTTGCTTCCCGGAGCATGTTGTGATTCAGAAGCTCCCGTGCCTTGCAGGACTTCGGTTACCTCTGGGAAACTTCACTTAATGAATTCTCTGGTGCCTCTAATGAGGTCAGAGGCCACTGGGTTAGTGCTGCGTCACTATTTTGGCAGTGTATTGCAGTAATTTGCAGAGATTTTCTTCCCTTCCCTCTCCAACCTGAGAACTGTCTGGCTGGTTGGGAGACCTATAGAGAGCATCAGGGGGGTGTCAGGCAGTGGCACAGAGGGGAGCAGGATTACAGGAGCCCTCAGTTGCCTGAGCAGATCCTCTGGGTGTGGACCTGCGGGACAGACTTCACCTGTCTCCGCTGAACCTGGTGCTCTCCACTGCACACCAGGGAACATGGGAAGCTCGTGCAATAGCTCTGAGAGAGCGTTTGTGAGTGTCCCAGGTGCTCCGTTGTGCGCGTGTGTGTGTGCATGTCGGAAGGTGAAGCTCCAGGCTCAGCTGGCCCCGCTTCATTTTCGGGTGGGGATGTTAGGGGAAACGTATTGGGTTTGGAGGAGTGAGTGGTGCAAGCTGTGAAGCTGCGCTATTCGGGTGTCCACTAGCCCCACGGCTTTTTCTCCCCACCATACTCTCGGCTCTCTGCCCAGCAGGTGACTGGCATTTGTCTCCTCTCTCTGTAGGTGGCCCAGCGGAAAAGGCTGGTCTGCAGCAGCTCGACACGGTGCTGCAGCTGAACGAGCAGCCCGTGGAGCACTGGAAATGTGTAGAGCTGGCACACGAAATCCGGTGAGTATTCACCCAAAGCATCAGTGAAGCGCTCTGGGAGAGAGTCTGAGGGAGCCCAGTGCAGGGCAGCAGGAGCTTTGGGTGGCTACAGGAAGGGAACAGCTTTGTGGGATGCAGGAGGCCGGGAAAGGACTCTTCAGAGTGAAAGAAGAAAGGATGCAGAGGCATTAGAGGGAGGAAGGACTGCAGGGCTCATGGCCACTGTCTGAGTGATGCAGGGTGCCTCACGCCCTACTGCTCCATCTCTGACTTGCCCCATGCCATCTCTTTCAGGAACTGTCCCACTGAGATCATACTATTGGTCTGGAGGCTCGTCCCGCAGGTCAAGTCAGGACCTGAAGGCATGATCCGCAGATCGTCCTGCAAATCTGCCTATGACCTCCAGTCACCACCCAACAAACGGGAAAAGAACAGCACCATGCCTCCGCGGCCCGAGCAGCGCCGGAGCTGCCACATACTGTATGATGGGAGTGATGGGCTGGTGCTGAACAGCTGGGAGAGGTACACGGAGATTGGCAAGCAGAACCAGAACACCATGCCACCCCTGTCCCGAGTCCCCTCCACTGCGGACCAGAACTACATCATCTTAGCGCCTTTGAAGCCAGGGAGCCAGGTAGGGCTGCTTTCCAGCCCCACGCTCACGTTACTGCATGTGGCTTTTGGCTGTGCTTGCTGGATCCTCTCTTGACCTGTGCTTCAGCCTTATCGAGCATCATCTCTAAATGTTTGCTAGAGCACATGCCTCTTGTAAAGCTAGACCTGTGTCCCTTGGTGGAGCTTTCACTAATTTCCTAAAACATTTACCACTAGGACTGTAGAGCCGGGGAGGATGACCTGCTGCCTCTTCTTAGGGCTCACTCCAGGGGTAAGGATAGGGGAAATGTTTCCACTGCGTAGACCACAGTGCAAGTCATCACATTTTCTGCTGGCAGTAGGGCAAAAGTGATTTTCACCTCTTTGGAGTGCTTTGGCTTTGCTGGGTTTGGCATGCTAAATTTTGCAGTTTGTTGTAAAGTCTACCTCAAGCCAACTCCAGGTGACTGTGTCCTTTCTGGGTTGTGTCTTACAGCTGCTGAGGCCTGTCTATCAAGAGAACAACACTACTGTGGGTAAGTTGCTGATGTGCTGGAAACACTGCTCAGAGCACCTAGCAGAGCTAAACACGGCCTTTCTAGCACTACCGAATCCTTGCCTGTAGCCCTGCAATGCTGCAATGGAGTCCCTTATGTTTTTGGGACAGTGGCAGAAGCCTGGGGCTTTTGGGTAGTATAATCTTCCTACTCTCTGCATCACACATAAAAGCGAGAACCCTACCCCCAAGCCCAGAGGAGAGCACAGCTCCTAGTGTCACTGGGTGAGCCTCATGACGAGAAGGTCCTGTGGGCGCTCACAGAGCAACTGAAGGGAGGCTGGTGGCAGGGACTTTCCATCAGGGCCACGATGAAAACACGAAGTGTGAAAGTGCTAAGCGTTGTTATTGTGGCGGTTCCCCAAATGTGTCTGTGGGCCTGTCCATGATGTGCTTCCTTTCTCACGCATGACGCTGTGCTAGGGGAGTGCTAATAGTGTGGCCCCTGCTTGGAGGCTCATTTTATTACTAAGGGAGTGAGGATGGCCGTGACTTGGGTTTGTACAAACAGTAGTGCAGGCTGATGTGCCAGGTTTGGGGAATACTCATTCCCAGGGCTGCTACAAGGTCTCTGGCAGTCTCTGGACCAGGTCTCCTCAAAAACTCTTTGAAGCATAAACTCATTTTCTGCAACAGGTATGCTTGGGGGTCTTCCTGGAGAGCCAGGTGTGGTTGGGCTTGCAGGAAGAGTGGGGTGTGTGGCAGGGCTCGGGACTGCATGAATCCAGGTCCGTGCCAAAACATGTGTTGCCTGCTCATTGATTTGGGAGCTTTGGGAGGCCACACTTACACCCTGGTCTGTTAGGATGCCCTTAGGATGAGCTGCGTGTCCGTAGCAGAGCTGACATCGTAGACACGATCTTGCAGGAGTACCTTTAACTCAGCAGTCCCTCCCTGGTGTGGGCAAAGCTATCAGCACAATTTCCAGCTATCAAATTTTGTGCTGCCTGTAAAGGTAGGGCAATGTCCACAGAAGACAAAGCGTGGGCTGGCAAAGCCGTGGTGGGGATGCTGGGGAGCAGCGTGGGTCTGAGGCCCCTGGGCTCTGTGGCCTGAAGAATTTTCCGCAGCTCAGCTGCAGGGGATGTTTTGTACCGTGGATAATTGCAACTCTTTCCTGCTGTTTGAGATCCTGTGAAAAGATGAGCTGGACCATGGGGACTTACTCTTACAGCAGCGTGGAATTCGAAAGACTCGGGCTTCTTCCCATAGCAATTTTTAGTGATTGTTTTCAGTTTGTTTAATGTTAAGTCTTCGGAGGGAAGAATGCAGTAGTTAACCCACGCAGTGGTGGAGTGTGGCAGTGCAGTGCTGGCCACCGGTCACACAGTGACAGGACCTGACACCTCGGCCAGGCTGGATGCATTTCTGTGCCAGCGTGCAGGAAACAGGACTTGTGCAGGTGAGGAATTCCTCTGATAAAATGAGGTGATTTAGGAATAAGAGGAAAAGCAGATCCTGAACAGCCCAGACAGATTGTGTGTGTCCTGTGTGGAGCTGTCTCTTGTGTTTTGATTTTATCTGGCAGTACAACCATGAAAGAGTCAGGATTATTGCACTTGGAGGTGGAAACATTTTAGGTCTTGGGGGCCACCCCCCTGCAAAGGCAGGCTGCTAAAGCAAGCAGTGAACAGCAGGTCTGGGTTGCCAACAGAGCACGGTGTGGCTCTGCTGCTGTTTAGCTGCAAGTGAGTGAGTGCACTACTTCCTAATGCTTAATGGAGTATGTAATGTTGGGGAGGTTCGTGTATTTGCTTTGGACGAGACCTTATCTGCTCTGAGCCATGTTCAGAAGTGGTTTGGCTCATTTCTGCTCTCATTTCCGGGAGGATACGTGTATTCGTTACAGTGCAAAGGCAGAGGCCTCTGCGTGGAAAGCTGCTGCGGTGGCCTGGGGCTGGGTGGCTGGAGGGAGAGATGCTGGGGGGTCTCTGCTGGGACACCCCTCTAGCAAGAGGCTGCAGGAAGGTTTGCACATACATGTTCCTGAGGTAACGCTGTGGGGGAGGATCCTGGGCTATTGCTTCAGTTTCTCACCTGGATATGTTAAAATCCAAGTGGAGAGTTCTGCCTGCTGGACCCGAGCTGGTTTGGTTCATCAGCTGCGTGGGGTGGGGAAAGAAAATACGTCAATTGTTCAGTGGGGCTTCTTTTGAAGAAGTCATGAATTTTTTGTTAGAGACATATTCTGTTCCTGTTGGCGTTATTGCCTGCAAGTTTTAGGACAGAGCCCAGGTTGCTGGTGCCCAGCGGGATGCGGTCTGGCATTAAGTGCTCTTGGGGAGCATGAACCTGTCTGTCCCCAGCGTGGTAGGATCCTGAGAGCACCCCACATCCCGTGCCTCCGCTCGTGGAACAGAACGCTGGTGGGAGCTTGCTGGATGTATTCAAAGGCGTTGGGAGGAAAGGGCTTAGAAATCCTGTATAGCAGCAACTGCCTGGCAGTCGGGGAAGGAAGGACTGACCTCCACAGCAGCTAGCAGGGAACAGTTGATATAATTATCAATAATGCTTTCAATCACAGGATTGTCGGTTACGTTAGAGATTCTGGGACTGGTTTGACACAGCACCTAATATTTCCTGGCCTCTAGCGATGCAGACTGGCAGGGGTGGAGCGGCCACAGGAGCTGGTGTTGGCTTGTTGGGAAAAGTCATAGCTCTGCTCGACCAGCTGAGGTGGGAGGCTGCAAAGGAAAGCTTCTGTGTAATCCCTCCTTTGAATGAGGATAACGGCTTTCTGCGATGAAGAGGGACAGAACGAAAAACCAGTCAGGCTGCTTGGACTTTTTCCAGCACCAAAATGTAATGCTGAAAAACTGTGGATGATGTTGTGCCAGCCTCATGCAAAACGAGACCATCCTTTATAAATACACCCCCATGTCTGAGTAACCGTCACATCCCTGGGAGCAATTTGGAAAGGCACGGATTGATGCCATGTGCATGAATGTGTTTATCACTTCTGTCCCTTTCTCTGACACCTCCAATCTTAGTATCTTGTAAAAAAACTGATTAACCCGCCACCCAGCACCCCATGACGTGAAATTCCTGCACTTTGCTATCTCCCAAGCCCAGAATCCAGAGCAGGCAGGACTTGTTGTAGATAAAAATGTCCCAATGTTCAAATTTCTAGTGTTTTTTTTCCCCCCACACTGAGTTAGTCACACATGATATTCCCCTCCCTGGAAAGGGAAGGGTCATAGTTCAGTGGTGCAGGCAGGTATTCCCCAATGGTGGGAGTCTGCTTGGTGCTCGTGTGATTCAAGAATGACTATTTAGAGTCATGTTTGGGGTTGTTCTGTGTATCTCACTTTGTACTTTCAGTACTGCACAGGGAGGGGTGTGTGATAGTCCCACATCTCTTCCTCCAAAGACCGTGTGCATACATGGCGCAGAAGGCAGCGTGCACCCAGAGGCAGATGTGCTGGCCTGCAGCTGAGCTCGCTGTGACTTCCTTGGGTTTTTGTTTGTACATACATAGATGTGTTTGTGCTGCCGGTATGATCCAGTTAAGTCCTTGGACCAGCAAGCGAGTGGCTCTTCATTGAGCAGAAATGTCAAGGGACATCTCATTTTGCATTAGGAAAAATGAAGTCAGTGCTGTTATTTCATGAATCCCTGGGAAACTTTGATAGCAGAGTGACGAACGTCCCTGCAGCTCTGGGCTCCAGCTATTGCGCTTAGGCTCCACTGCCCTCCTCCAGCCTGCGAGAGCAGGAGCTGAGCCAGCAGCGTGCAGCAGCTCGGCCGGAGCTCTCTTCTGATTCTGTGTTTCTTTCTGCTTCCTCTGCTGGCCCAGGAAATGCGTGTAAAGGGAAATCGCACATGGGGTCTGGGAGAAAATCCAGGCTGATGAAGACTGTGCAGACGGTGAAGAGCTACGGGAACTACCAGAACTGCACCATAGTGAGGCCACACATCCCGCACTCCAGCTACGGCACGTATGTGACGCTGGCTCCCAAAGTGCTGGTGTTCCCTGTCTTTGTGCAGGTAAGCGCAGCTGGAAGCAGGTGTAATGGATCTGAGGCGATCAGTGCCCAGCACAGCAGGTTGTGTCAGAGCTTGCTGCTGTCGGTTGGGTCCAGGCTGTCACGCGAGGCGCATGTATTTCCCAGCAGTATATACCATGAATGCGTGGATTCCCTGTCATCCGCAGCTCTCTCCTCTGGAGCTGGCTGTACTCAGCACACTGCTGGGTGCTTTCTCAAAGGGAATTGTGTCCTCCCCAAGAGATTCTCTGTTGGAGTTTTTTCCCTTTTCAGCTTTCAAATCTGGTCCTTAGGTGCTTGCTTGAGCCAGGGCTCAAGCTTCTGAGCTTCAGCAACAAACTTTGTATATTGAAGATCAATATGGCTTCTTGCATGTTGAAGATCAATATGGTTCTTTGTGCTGTTAACTATAGTGTGCAAACAAAGGTTTTCAGCTGGTGGCCAGCACTAAAATCATGGACAAGGATCCAGAGCAGTAATGGCTTGACAGAGGATGTTCTCACTCTCCAGTTCCATAAATGATTTTCTTAAAATTTTAGCCTTGAATTTGGTGGTAATAGCTCTACCTCTGTGTCTTCCATTTTGTCCTTTTGTGTCTTGGATTGAGTCTGGGGTGTTTCTGCCACTCCAGGAACTGCTGTTTATGCTTTGCGCTGTCTCATACTGCAAGGCGCCCGTGCCCGTACCCTCGGGTGCCTGCTGGCCGTGCTGCTCGGGAGGATCCTCCTGGGCTGGTTTTGTGGGGCTTGTTCTGCAGTCAGGACAGCTGACCCGGCCCTGTTCTTCTCCAGCGTTAGGCAGGGATGGTGCTGACGGGGGGTGAGCGTGCAGTGTGGCATGAGGAAGGGCAACCGCCTTAAAGGTGCTTTAACTTACTGTGAGAGTAATCCATAAAATCATGTAGCAAATATTCTTGTCTGAGGGATGTGAGAACCTAGCGTGCCACCGTTGTGGTTGTGTTTCCTGCTAAAAAGCACCCATGACCAAGCCCGCACCGTGCAGAACAGTTAACGTACAAAGAGGCAAGCGGCTGATTGTCTTTTTATAGATGGGTCTGACGTAGGTGTTAAATGTAAGGCTTGCTTTTTATCATGTAGCTGGACTGCAGACTTTTGAGCGCAGTGTGGGGTGGCTTCTCCCTGAATGACTTACAGCTTAAAGTGAAGACAAAGTGGGTTTGGTGGGCGGAAAGTTTTTCTGGCAAACCACACTTCCAGTGGAAGGTTTGACTGTTTCTTTCTTATTCTTTTTTTTTTTTTTTTTTTTCCCCCCTTTCAAATGTAGCCCCTAGATCTTTGCAACCCAGCCCGGACTCTGCTGCTGTCAGAGGAGCTGCTTCTTCATGAGAGCAGAAGCAGGACTATCCAGGTAAGACTCTTTCCATGCTGTCTGAGCTTTTTAAACATGCTCTGCTGCAGTCTTACATAGTAGATTGAGAAGGAAAATGTTTTATTGTGCAGTACTTACATTAATGTACTATTTGGCAAAACTTGTAGTCAGTTTATCGTGGGATAAACTAAATATCAAAACTCTCTCTGCTAGAAATCAACTTTTTTTCCTTGTCTTCCTTTACACTCACAAAGAAGAAACTGTGCATGGCAAACGCGTGCCAGTTACAGCCCAGCAGCTGAGGCCACCGGCAGACTCAGAAAGAAGGAGTTTTTGTTCCAGGTTAGAGAACTAGACAGAGAACTTGTTACAGGGGTTTTCAGCAGTTTAGTTCCTGGAACAGGTCACATGTGCTGTCCGAATTCCTCTCTTTCTTTCTTACTTCAGCTTCTTTTCTGCAATGTTACTGGAGGGCTGTTACAAATCTGGGGAAGCAACTAAGCTTTGGCTACGTGCTGAACCTGTGTATGTGACAACTTTCAACATCCAAACTGGCAGAGTTTGGACGTGTTGATTACATTTGCTGCTCGCTTCACTTGCATCCAAGTGTAAAGTCTGCAAAGCTCTGGAATTTGGGACAGAGGAAGCGGTAGCCGGGGAGTCCACTCATGCATTGCGCACTAGTGAAGGAAATTGCTGTTTCTTTGGGGGCATTTTCAGAGAACCTCACCACTGTACAGAATAATTTTGTTCTGAAGACAGCTGGAATGAACAATATGTCATCTTCACAGGGCCATGGAGGAATTTTTACTTGACTAATCTTAGTTTCTGGGTAACACCTTCTGGGTGTCCGACAGCAGAATACCAGAGGCACGTCATATCACTGGCCTGTACAAAATTGTGTACAAAACCAGTACAAGATTGTGTTGTATTAAGTGACTCCTCTCTCTTTCTGGTTTTCAACATGTAATTCATCCCTTTCTCTGACGTGAGTCACTTTTTTCTTTTCTGCCAAAGTACCTGAAAAATGGCATGATCCATTAGGAAACTTGTCACTGATTTGTAAGTAAAACTCTTCCCCTCTCTGTCCTGTTCTTTGCTGCTCTGGGTCTTCTGGGAACCTGCATGAATGAAAATCAGGTAAACACATGGCTGTGTAGCACAGCTGTGCTGTGATGGCTTGGAAATATGGTGGCCAGCCTGGAGTCAGGATGCTTCTCCTGGGTGGTTTGGAGTTGCTAGCTTTCAGGTCAGACTCAGAGGTCTGTAGTAGCAGCCAAATGTGAAATAATTATGAATAACTAATGGCATTTGCAGCCTGGGTGGAGCATGTGTGTGTATGGGGGTGTTCATATTTAGATGATGGAGTGTCTCAGGACAAGCATGTTTGGAGGAGGTGTGCTGCTCTGTTTCCAAATGTCCGCGTTAGCCATTTCAGAGACCCAGCTGTGGGCCGGATCAGAGGGAGGATGTCTCAGGGCAAGGACTCTGTTTGCTTAGGAGGAGCGTGAGGCTGGAAGAGGATTTCCCAGTTGGAGCCGCTGCCAGGAAAGGGCAGGATGCTGTAGGCTGGCCAGGAACGTGAGACAGTGTTTGAGAATGATGGTGCCTTGAGGCCATGATGTCTGCATTAGCCTGGCAGAGGGGCAAGGCGAGAGGTTGTGACTAAGCATAGTGAAAAAATAGCAGCAGTGAATGGGAACAAGCATGTGGAAGCGCCCGCTTTGCAAGGCAAGAGTCGTTCCCTCGGTGTGAACCCAGGCATGGTGCTGAGCCCTGTATTGCTGGGAGCTGACAGCTGTAGGTACCAACACCGGGACATCAGCCGTGTCCCTGTCCTCATGTCTGCAGTGTATCACAGGGTCACGGCAGGCTTTGCAGAGCTTCAAGGAATCAGTGCAGGACTCTGGAAAGCCAGAGGCTCCCGTTCTCCAGCGGAGCAAGGGTGTCTGCTTTGGTCCTGACAGGCTGTAAGATAGGGGAACCTAAACTTCAGAAGCCAGCAAGACCTAAAATGGGCTGGACACAATGGAGTTTCCCCTGGTACAGGAGGGCTCTGACTTCTCTTTTTGCTGGACTTGAGCTCACTCCCTCTCCAGCCTTCTCTGCTGCCTGAACAGAGGCTGTCTTGTTTCCGATCCGTCCTTTCTTCCTTGCTTCATGTAGTTTTCCATTTTCCCACTGCTTATCCCACACAGTCCATCTCAAACTGGACCACTGCTCATGTGGTTTGCAGGACTGTTTTCTGCGTGTTATTCTCCTTGGGCTAAGCGGCTTGAGAGAGGAGAGCCCGAGTGCAGAGGCTGGAGATGGAGGTCCTGTTTTATTTAAAAAAAGGCAAAACGCCACAGAATCTTTTCCCCTTGGCAGTTTCCATGTCAGGCACTGCATCCTCATCATTGAGCAAACCCTCTCCCATCTCCTGAAGGAGTCAACCTATCTCTCTGGAGGCTTGCCAGCATCTGTCCTTTCTCTGACCTTACCTCTGGGGCAATCCTTATTCAAGCCTTAATCACATCCTGTCTAGACTTTGTTGCAGTTCCCGCTTTTATGGTCTTCTGAAATCCCTCCAGCCTGTGGAGTGCCAGAGGAACCAGCGTGATGCAGGCGATTGCGCACAAGGTGTCGAACATGGGCTTTGTCCTTGTCAGTCTGTCTCTAATGTACCTGGAGGCAACTTTCCAAAGCCCTGGGGTACCTTCACAGCATGGGCCATGCTTGCCCCCTTCTCAGCTCTCTCTTCTGCTATCCTGGCAGGGTCTGCAGATCAGGATGGTCCTCCCTTGACCTCTGAAAGCCCCCAGCACTGCCAGGAGTCTGGACGACATGGACTGGCATGCCCTGATTTTATGCTCTTCTCTGCAGGCCAAGAGGCTTTACTCTCATCCCAAGTGTTCCACTGCAGGATCCCAGCACTCCTGGCCTGGGACGGGTTGCCAGCTCCCTGTTTCAGTGGGTGGCTGAGTCTGGCCAGCACAGTGGGTTGACACAAGCTCTACTCCCTGGCACAGATGTTTCAAGATCTTCTTTTCAGCCTTTTTTTAAGGCACTTTCATTTGGGTGACAATACCAGCAACACGCACTTACCTCCTCCCTCCAGCATACTAGTCCCACTTACTCTGTCCTTTCTTTTTCACTGCCTTTTAATGTCCTTCTCTTCCTCATTTTTTACACCATTTCCCCATCTGCATAGCCACTGCTTATGCTAGTGTTTGAGTGTAAGTGCACGATCCCTTGAGATCTTCAGTGCTTGCTCTCCCCTGATGTTCATGGTAGAATATTTGATTCGGGTAAGCTGATGCGAGGTTCAAGGTTGACAGCTAAAGCCTTCACCATGGATCTCCTTTCGGCAAGAATGGTGGTATGTTTTCGTCAAAGTCTGGATGAGCATATAAACTCCTTCCTGAGTGTATGAATTCCTTGCCAATAATCTTGGCAGAAAAAACTGTGTGAGGGTAAACACACTGTGGGCTGAAAGACTGCCGAGAAGTCTCGGAGAACATGCATTTGATATGGATACATGCAGAAGTAAAAATTCAGGAGCAAGGAGCAGGTCATGCTTAGAGAGTTAGGGCTGTCGCATGGAAAGCAATGACTCAAAAGCTTTTGTGTATTACTGAAGGATGGTAAAGTTTCCCTGATCTGGGAAGTTCATACCCATCTCCAAAGTGTTGTGCCTGTGTATGTGCACCTACCTCACCTGCAAACCCTAGATCGCTTCTCTTTTTAGACCAGGGCTCAGCTGACTGAGATGCTAATGTACGAAGCTGTGGCAACTGGATTACTTTTAATTATGTTCTCCCATTGCTCTGGTCTCTCTGAAAACCAAGTGAGTAACTGCCAGTGCAAAGCTGTAGCCAAGAAAGCTACGACTTTGAAGCGTGTGGTCAGGGGAACACTGAATAGAAGCGACTGGGTGATATCACCCTGTATGTGAGGAGCTGCATCATTCTTGGTCTGATGAGTCCAACAGTGATGTTGGCTTTGCAGAGGATACTGATAATTTGGATGGCCTCACAAGAAGGCTACAAGGATAAATCAAGATCTGAAAAAAATGAGGAAGATTAAGAAAGCTTCATCGATTTAGCTCAGCTGAATGAATGGGGACACTTGAACTTTGCAGATGCAACCCTGATACTGGTACCACTGGAGTTTCACCCAATTGGTTGCACCCAATTCTACTGGAGAAGAATCCAGTACTGGTAAATAGAAAATGTGTGTGGATCAGTCCTAGGGGCGGATACCTGCCTTAAGAGCTCCCCTCGAAGGATTATAGGATTTCCCTAGCCAGCTGCAGGCAGCGTTCTCTGGCCAGCGATGCGGGGGATCGTCACTATGTTCTCCTTTGGCACCTGAGAGCTCTATCTGAAAAGACCTGCCTCTGCTTCACTTGGCTTCCTTGGCTCTGTTTTGCTGGGCACAGCTATGAGACCACTGCTGGAGAGAGAGAGGCCGGTGTCTCGGAAGGCATCCACTGGCCCCGGCTATGAGCAGGCAGGGTTTGCCCTGATGCGTCGTGCCAGCGTCTCTGCTGATGCACTGCTGCGGTTGCAGCGTGCCAACTCCTCCCTGCTGTAACCCCGGCAGCAGTGGCTCTCTGTGCGTGGGTGAGCCGGAGGGGACCGGGTTAGGAGGAGACTTAACTAATCTTAAGCTTGAATGTGAAGGGACTTTGGCTGCAAGGCTTAATTTCTGGGTGCCTTTTCATAATGTTTTGTTACCATATTTTGCTTTACAAGGTGTGGTTATTGCTTCCTCTTTCCTGCAGTGGGGCTCTGTAGCAGTCCCAGTGTTGATCTCCTGTTCTCATCTCGGGGAAGCACACTAGCCCACTGCTTTCCACTTTCCACCTTCCCTCCTGGCTTTCATTTTTAAACGTGCCCCTTCCTTCTGTAGCAACGCTTTGCCAGTTACGTTCTGTACTTAGTAAAATCTATCAGCAGAAGTGGCTTTGCTGTTTGCCGTGGTGCAGAGCACACCCAGATGAACAATGTCCGAGACATGAGTGTCGGCATCTACAAACATTTTTTTTCCCCTGTAAAATCTATTCACACCCCCCAAAAGGTCTGTGTGACAACTGCCATGTGGCCTTGAGCACTCTAGTAATAACACAGGTGTGCCTAGCTCTGTCCTCAGGGGAGTCCTTTCATCATGCCAGTTGTTTTATTTCTGATTTTGGGCTAAGAAATTAGTTCTGGGGAATACACAAAGATACTCTGACTCTCCAAGGAGCAGCTCTGGTGGATTCTGTGTCTTGCCTGGATGAATTCAGGTGCTGTGTTTCTTTTTTGTTTGCTCTTTTTCTTTCATGAGCCCTGTGACTTTTCGTGGATAGATACCAGATCTGTTTGCAAAGGGCTGTTAGAGACGTGTTACAGCTTGTCAGCGCTGTGATGGCAACCCTAGGCAGAGCTCCAGATTGCTGCCTCCAGCCCTCCCCTCTTATACCTGCTGGCTGCTGCCTTAGGGTCACCCATGGTCGAATTTCCCGTGCTCAGCTCTGCCCCACAGAGCCGGTCCCGATCCCACCTCTGCGAGCAGGGTCTGCTGGAGCCCTGGGCCTCGCGGCGCTGGGGTGCTCTTGGCCCGCTCTGGCTGTGTGGGTGGAAGGGACACCCTCGTTTTCTTCCCCCAGCAACCTGGAGGACAGAGGGACCTCTATAAACCCTTTTGTGTGGAGCTGCTCTAAACTCAAGTGTCTTCCTGGAAGCAGCATCTAAAAGAGATGCTCTTACGTAACCCACGCTGGCCGTGCTTTTATCTTCTCTACATCCTGAATTCAGTCAGTTCCATCTTCCCATAAAAGCACAACGCTACCTGTAAATACTTGTCGTGCATTTCTGTTTTCATGATTGTCTGTTTAAATCTTCTTCGTTTTGAAATGATGTTTTTTCCCTGATGATCCTTCTATCCTTTTTTCTACTCTTTAAACTTCTGTATGTATTAGGTCTTCGTTTTCTTCCCTCCATTTACAACATGACCACTTGCTGATCATGCTTTTATCTCCTCTTCGCTTTGCTGAGTTGCTGTTCTCAAGATCCCTGAACATCTCTTCTTTGAGGCTGAGGGACCTGGGATGGCACCAGAAAAGTTACCTTTTGGAATAAGATGGGCATGGGAGAAAGTTTATAGTGCAGTCTGTACTTTGTTATTCCTTGTATTAATAAGGTCAGAAGTAGTGAAGGGGGTGAATGTGGGCACTAGGCCAACAGCGTGTTGAGAGCAGAGGAAGGGATTTTCCAAATAATACAGAGGAAAACAGACACTCCCTGGTTTCATTGTCAATTAAAGCTGCAACAGTAGCTTTGTGCCTTATTAAGAATCCCACAAAAATGAATTTGCACAGCGTGGAGAAATCTTGTGGCAAGGGCTTGGGTTTTTGGTTTCAAAGCCAGATGCAGCTGCCCCAGTGTGAGACTCAGCGCCTTGTGACAAACTGTTACCCAGCTTGTCCTCCTCCTGACACGTGTCCGCCAGCCGCTGGGCACGGGCAGAGCATCCTCGTACAGTGACTCAGTCCCTGTCCAGAGCAAAGTCACTGTTCAAGGGAGGACTCGGTGGTGGCAGCGGTGCCGGCTCCCAGCAAGCCCCTGCGATGCTGGCTTGTTTTCTGCTTTTGTGAAATGGTTGCTAAAAGGCCACAAATCCTTCGTTGCTGTTGCTCAGTGTTGCGGAGGAGCTTTCCCTTCGCCGTGGGAGGTTTTTGGGAGCATCCCAAGGAGCAGCTAAAAATGGCCACGTGTTCACACGCTGCGTCCTGTGCTGAGAGCAGTGTGTGGTTGGGCAGTATGCAGAAGGTCCAGCAGCCGATATGCCCGCTGGCATATGGCAGCCGCTTCCTGGCACCTTCTAAGCTTTGCTGCATGCCCCCGTCTTCTGGCAGGCTCAGACCTCGGCTACTGGCATAGCGATGGCACCGAGCTACTCACCTCCAGTAGGCTTCTGGGTCAAGGATCTCCATTTCAGTGGAGAAGCTCATTCTTCTTAAAGATCGCACTAATCTGTAGTGATTGAACTAGGGACCTCAGGCAAGAGCCAGAAGCAGAACAAAATCCACCTTTTGAGTTGTGAGCACTTACCACTGCTCTGGAGTCGCTCCTATCGTCTAGGACACTCGAGTCACTGCTCAGGCACAGAGCTGGGCAGACGCTCGGTTCAATGTTTGCTTTCCACCCGTCAGCATGGTTTAAAGGTGTCAAGTTTGTTCCCTGCAACTGCTCTCGTGGGTTCTGCTGTTGTAAAAGCCAAACTGTTGTTTTCTCAAAGGGAGCAAAGACTGAGAACAGTGAAAGCTCCTTCGTGAATGTGTTCAGGGAGGAAGATCACATTTGCTTTTAGGTTGCAACTTCTCCAGTGTGCTGGGATTAGTCGGCAACTTATTCCCTCCTCCTGCTCCTCTGATTTATAACTTATGTAAATGGGAAGTGACACGAGAGAGCAGAGAGGGTGTGTTTGCGTGGCGTTAAACTGTTGGGCAGGTTTATCCTTCTTATCACAGGACTCCACAAGCCTTGGTAGGTGGCTGCCAAGCGGGGGGAGCCTTGTCCAAAGCTTGCTGGGAGTGCTCTGCGGGGCGTAGCAGCCATCAGCCCCTTAGGGAAGGGGTGCATGGGCTGCCTGTCATGGCTGGTGCGCTCCCCAGGGTAGAGGACCTTTGCAGGACACTGTCTCAGTGCCAAGGGATGAATTCTTTATAGCTTCTTCTTTAATGCTCTTGTCCTTCCAGGTGACCCTCTTCGTCTACTCCGACCTGCTGCTCTTCACCAAGGAGGACGAGCCTGGGCGCTGCAATGTGCTGAGGAACCCTCTCTACCTGCAGAGCGTCAAGCTCCAGGAGGGTGAGTGTCTGCAGCAGTAGTTGGAGACATTTGGGGCATTTTTGTGGATGCTAGCTATAAGGGTTTCTGGCCAGCAGCAAGATAGCATCCTGCTATCCCATTGCTTCCAGTATGTAACAGTACCATCCAACTGGTGCTGCCAGATCATCCTTCCTTGGGGTGCAGGGCCGGCATCACCCTTCCCATCCCTGCATTAACCCAATCCCCAGGAGCTCTACCTCCTGGGACGCCTCAGGGACACGTGGGTAGCACCACTTTCCAGGGCTTTTGGGGTGCGTCCCTCAGGGATTTTGGGCTGGCATTCCCCAGGGTCTTGCTGTGCTGAACTGTCCCCATTGCTGGTGTTACGCTACCTACAGCGAGGGCTTGCTGAGGCTGAGAAAGGGAAGTGAAGTCTTGAGGTTTCCCCCATGGTGCCTCGAGAGAGTTCAGAGGTTGTCTCCAAGGGAGTCTGGCTAAGTCCTACTGATCTTTGCTTTGCTACTTCTCCCTTCAGCCGCCCATGGTTTTCCCCCGCGCTAGCGTTCCTTCCCCATGCATGCCCCATTGGTGAGGAAAGAGCAAGCTCTGGCCTTGGTGAGAGGCTGTGGACTGTGCCCTTACTCTCTTCACCTTGGCTGGGCTTCCATGTCCAGCTGAGGGCTCAGGGAGGGCTTCTAGGTCAGGGGGAGGACTTGAAATCAGTTATTTAAGTTAAAATGCTGAGGCTGTAAAAAGGTGGCCTTTAGCTACTCAGGGTCAAAAGAGGAATGAAGGAATTGCTTTACCACATCCTATTTGCTATGGTGGAGCCACTTGTTGACCTGGGGCCCAGTCCCACCTTGTTCCTTCTTTGGTGCAGTCGATTTTGGGGTACGGGCTTGTTTTGTGTGCAGTTGCCCGACTGCGTCAGCATGGGGCCGGTGCCCTAGCTCCTCCTTGAGCCCAGGCAGTGGGTGTCACTGGACTGGGACCCGACGTCAGAAATCATGATTAGATATAAAGAAAAACTTTTCTATGGTGAGGTGCGTCAAATATTAGTTGCTCAGAGAATTTGTGGGATCTCCATCCCTGGAGGTGTTCAAGACTCAACTGGGCACGGCCCTGAGTGCCCTTATCTGGGTGCTTTGGGCAGGGGCTTGGCCTAGAGACCACCAGAGGGGCCCCTTCCAACCCAAATTACTCTGTAACTGTATGAGCTGATGTCTTTATATGCGGTCCCGTGGCCCTGACCAAAAGGGATTCATTCAGATCTGGGCTGCTTCTCCGAAGGGATCGTTTTCTGGATGCATTTTGCCATGTCCCATGACTTTCCCCAGCCGAGCTTTGAGCTGTGTGGATGAGCTGCATCTCTCCATGTGCCCCATGTTGTTGTGAGCCTCGGTGCTGGGAATCTGCAGTGCTGTGCCGGACACCGCAGGCTGCCTGGCAGTTGTTATTTCCAATTTCCAACAACGTTTCTGCTCCCAGGTTAATTCACTGACTTATTTGGTGAGGGCAGAAACACAGTGAGGGAGACGGGGCACCAGGGTGCAAGCCATTTGGAAAAGCCATTGAAGCTTCACTGGTGGTTGTTCAGTTTGTTCTTGGAGCTGCTCATTTCTAAGAAACAGACCAAAGAAATTTGAAGTGCTTGTTGGTCAGTGTCTGCTCCTGGAGCACGCGTGCGTGCCGCCCCTGGCTGCTCTCAAAGGCTGTTGAATAACCCTGCTCTTGTTTGCCTCCCTGAAGAAATCAACTTCCCCGGTGCTGGTCCCGGCTCTGTGCACAAAGGTCTGTTTGCAGCTCGGCACAGGAATGTGCCTCCTAACCTCAGGTAAAGCGGTTGGATTTCATGAGTGGTTTTCTGCCACTTATTTCCTTGTTGCCATAATAACTTGGCTGGATCATGTCTGGAATAGCTTAACAAGCCTCTCCAAAGGGGATGTTTGTCTCTGCAGTGCTGAACCACCCCCCGTACGCCGGGAATCCAGCGCAGTCGGTTTTCAGGCAGCTCACCCTCCTGGTTTGGGCAGGGCCGCTTCAAAGGCGGGTGGAACAAGCAAAAAGATGTCCGTCCTTTTTGGCAGAGGTTTTCTGTTGGTCTCCTAAATAACTGAATGGCACATTAATAGGAACAGGCGTATTGCTGAGTATAACAATTGAGACATCTCCGGTACACTGAAGACCATTGTGATGTTTCCTGTTTCTGCTGCTCGCTGCACAGTGTGAAAGCAAATCAGTATAATCTGCTTTACAATGCTCTGTCTTCCTGCTTTAGAAGCTGAGCATGGCTGATGAGCACCACACCGGCCAAGGTTTCCAGTGCAATGGGGCTGGCTTCCTCACTAGATACTGTGGGAATTTCCACGTGAAGGTCGCCGCCTCACTGGGATCCTGGCCCTCCTGGGTGGGTGTGCTTGGCTTTGGGACAGAGAAGAGTGCTCTTGTTTTGCAGCCAGAGTGAGGGTCCCCAGGCTGTGAGCCCCATACCCAACCGGGATCCTGCAAACAAGGACTTTTCATGTGCTGCTTTGCTGTCCCTGGCTTCCCAACCCACCGTGTCTTACAGCAATCGGCTCCAAGACAGACCGATGCCCGGAGTATGATTTATGGGGCTTCTGCCCACCCACAGCTTCTCCCCGCTGTCCCAAGGGTGCTGGGAAGCACCCAGGGCTTGCACCCTGCCACACCTCCCTTGGGGACATGTGTCACAGAAGGCGACAAGCTTGTCTCCGCTTGGGAGCCAGATCTGAATGTGCACAACAGCCTTCCACTCTCCCCATCACCCAAGGCCCTGCAGCACCCTGCCCTGCGGGCTCCTCTTTGGGTGCCCGATGCAGTGCCATCCTTGCTGAGCGTATGCGAGGGGCTGGGGAGCAGCGTGTCTGCCCTCGCCGTGGGCATTGCCATGGTCCCCGGGGCCGTGCAAAGAGGCTATGGAAAGGAGCACCTTCCTGCTTTTCCCACCTTTTTGACCTAACGCCTGGTGTGCACCATCCAAATCCTGCAAGCAGCGGGTGTTTTCCTTGGGTTGCACATGGGAGCTGGGCAGAGCCAGGCTGGCTGAAAAGCTGAAAGCTGCTGTTGTGCCAGGAGCTGCGTAAACGCCTGCCCCGCGCGTCAGCATGGGTGCGCAGGACGAGGCTTAGCCGGAAAGGGGGATGTGTCCCCACAAAAGTCGCACCCTCCTCTTGTCTGTGCTGAGCGCGCGCAGCAGCCCAGCCCTGGGGCAGGCACGGTTCAAGTTACTCTGGAAGACAAGCCAGGCCCCATCACAGCGCGTCAGGAAGAAACTGAAATATCTTCAAGTGAGTTTTTTTTTCTCCTGTTTATTTCATTTTAGTGTTTCACTGAATTTGGTTGAGTGTATGCACTGTTCAGCTGTCAAGAAAGGTGTGGACGTAGCGCCGTGGGGAACGGAGCCCTGGATTAGCCCAGGCAGCTGGCTGCCGCCTCCCTGGCGCGCGGTTGCGCCTCTCCCCTTGTCTTTTGTGGCCTCTGTGGTCCGCGGTGCAGGAGATGAGCAGTGCACGTTGCACGGCTCCAGGGCACAGCGGGCTCCGACACGCCAGCCTGACCCTCCGGAGACTGGAAAAAGCTCCAGTGGAAGAAATTCCGGCAAACCTGGTTTGTGCTGAAATCTGCGCTCGGCTCTGCCCTTCCTGGCTCTGCATCACTCTCCTGCCTCTCCTTGCGCCTCACCGGGAATGGGCACTGGCTCAAGCCCAGCTGCTGGGCTGGGCAGCCAGTCTCTTACCTCCCATTTGTTTTCTTTCTAAAGGCAATTACTGGTAGCAAAAGGGATTTAAGCAGTTCCTTAGCCTAGGCTGGCTCCCTGCTTTGTGTGTCCCGTAGGCGCTGGCTGCTTGGCCCTGTGTAGCAGCGAGCCTCAGAGGGACAAGGAGACAGGAGCTGCTGGTGGTGGAGGTTGCTAATGCCAAGATTTGTAGCTCAATGGAGAGGAATTTGAAAGGGAACTTAATTCTGATGGTTTTGGACTTTGTTGGGATCATTTGTTATTGCAGAAGCAATAAACAGAGGCCCAAAAGAAGCAGGGCTGTTACAGTCCGATGTCACCTTTCTTTGCTGAGGGTGCATGTCTCCAGGGAGTGACTTGTTCCTCAGATCAGCTGGGAAAGGCAGATTAAGGCTCCTGAGGGAAGCTGGGACATGTTGGCCTTCTGCAGTCTGCTTGACTGCCTTCAGGCAGCCTGGAGAGCGTTGGTCATGGTGCAGGGAGCGGAGAGCACGGCTGAGAAGATGGGGTGTTTTTTGTACTGCTGATCACTTGGGCAGCAGAAGCAGCAGAAGGGGATGGTGGACTTGTGATGTGCTGGTAGCGGGCTCAGATCCTGCGTCCAAACCTTCCCTCGGGGAAAAAGCACTGGCTGAGGGGCTCCCATTGGAGGCTTTGGCTTTGCAAGGAAAATGCTCCCCAATGGTCCTGCTGGGATGTATGGAAGAGGGTGCCAGGAGAGCTCGAGCATTGCTGTGGAGAGCGGTGAATGTTTTTTCTGTGGTGCAGAGGTGAGGCACGGGCTCCCAGCCAGGCCCGGTCAGCGTGTGCTTTCAGCATTGCTCCCCTTCTGGAAGTGCAGATTTGGAGGGGCAGCGCTGGAGCCCGCTGGCTGCTCCCTGACCTTTGCATCGCCCAGCGTGGAGCAGACTGAAGTGTACGAAAATGCACAGGGACTCCTCATCCGAGAGGTCTGCAGCAGTGCTCCTGGTGGGGCTGGGCTCCGGCATGCTGGCGCAGCATGGTGTCCCGGCGTCCCCGTAGTGACGTTCCAGCCCCTGTCCTGCCGCGTGCAGTAACAGTGAAGCTTGGAGGCAGGCCTGCGATTGCCCGAAGGGCAGCTGGAAGAGACATCCAGCATGTGGCTGCAGGCCGTTGTGCTTCGTCATGCGTTTTGCATTGCCTGTGGAGTGACTCCAGAGGCATCCGAGTCCCTCAGTGGGTCACAGCTCTTATCTTGACATTTGGGCTGCTGCCTGCAGCAGAAGAATTGCTTTCCTCTGGGGAACAGGGTGTTTCCACCGCTGCAGAGCCTGTTCCCATCGTTAGCACAGCCCAGGCTGTTGAAATGAAGCAGAGCTTGTGCTGTCACTGCTTTGAATAGGATCTGCAACCGTGCCCAGACTGCGGGTCTGATCTCATGGCAGAGATAACGTCATTAAAAGGGTTATGAAAGCTGCAGCCCAGCAGTGCTGTATGCTACCAAGGGCAAAGCTGGTGTGGGGCACGTTGGTGCGAAGAAGCGAGCTGGCTCCAGGAGATGGGATGTCCTGCTTCAGAGTCAAGGCGGCAGCTCCATGTCCTCCTGCGAGGCTGATGTATGCCAGGAGCTGGCTTCCCTTGGGGCTGGGCACGCTCGTGTCTCACCAGCAGGGATCAAAGACCAGGGCAGATTTGGGGACAGGGAAGACTACGCCTGCAGGAACCAGCCTGGCAGAGCAGCTGGAGCGTAACACGTCCCCTGGGACAGCTGCAGCAAGATGAGGAGCTGAACTGCGCTGCTTCATGATTTAGCAAGACGTGGATCGCAGTGTTGGTCATTGCATCGCCTCCAGCACCATCTCCTTTCCCAAAGTTGTGGGCGTGCAAGTCCCTCGGCCAGGCCTCCTGAGCAGCACCCCGCTGGCAAGAGCTTGGAGAGTTTGCCCTCAGCCTGGTGGAGCAGGGTGGTTTCTCCCTCCTGCCCCATGTCAGCCTCTTCCCCATGCCCCAGGGGTTGGCTCCATCTCCTCAGAGGGGCACAGACCCCCGCTGCTGGCACTGATGGAGGCTGGGACAGACAGCGCGAGGCAGAGCTATCGCCAGCAAAGGGCTTGGGGCAAGAAGCTGGGAAGGAGTAAGGACGTAGGAACAGGAGCTGCTCTGGTTAGTCCTACTGGGAGCAAAGCGACCACAGAGGTAAGGTGTGGAGAGACCCGACCGCAGTGCCCAGGATGGCTGCGTGGGCACCGCAGGGCCTCCGCAGCCCCCGGGAAGGGATCGGGCTGCGCGTGCCGTTGCAGGTTGGGCAGAAGAGCCTGTGCGTGGCCTTTGAATGAAACAAACCTTTTTCCAAAAACTCAGAGGAGAATCCATGATAGCGCAGTGAGTCCACGCAAGATGCCATGCAACGCAGCCTGCCCAGCGCCTGGCCGCTGCAGATGCAGCATACATCACTCCCAGATCACAGCCTGGTACTGTGGGATGACAACAATAAATATTCATTAAACCCTGTCTCTTAGCCAATTCCTCCGCCAGTGTCTCCGCTTGCAGAAGTGCATTTGTAGCTTAATTTTGATCCAGTTTTTTCTTCTTTGTAGGTTCAGAAGATCGGAAATTCTGCATCCTTTACCTTGCAGAGGTGAGTGTTGCTGTTTTCCGAATTAACTTCGTAGTGGGAGCTGAACACGTATTAACAACTCTGATCTTTTCTTCTGGGGCAAGGAGCACTGAATGGGCTGATTTTAACTTCCTTTTTAATTAATTTGCCAGAGGTCTGGAGAGGAAATGTAATGGCTGTAGCCAGAATATAGTAGTAAGAAGCTGCTAAAAGGAGTCTGTGAGCGGGGAGGCTGGGAAGCACTGAGACGGGTTCGCTTTTCCCTTTCCCCCTCGTGCGCAGTAGGTGGATCTTCCTCACCGCATCTCACTTGTGATTTATCTTGGGATCCTTTCGCCTGGGGGCAGATTTTCTTGCCACCTGTTTTGTCTTTATTTTTTAGGCATCTTGCTCTTCTTGTCTTCAAGCATCCGGGTTTGAAGCCCTCAAATAAAAAAAAGGAAGCTCAGTCTAAAAGACATATAATAAGCTCTAAAGACACGTGTGGCTGGTGCAGTCACTCAGACATTGGCACAGTTACATCCGTGTCGTGAAGCAGCCAAGGAGACTGCAAAATTGGTTCACAGGGACTGGACCTCCCCAGTCATTGCTGCGGCTTTTTTGCCTTTTCAAGTGACTTTACTGTGTTCCTTGTTTCAAGGCTTTGTATTTTCAGGGGTGGAAATTTGGATCTGGGAAGGATCCCCAAGGCGCGGAGGAGAAAGGCAAACATTGCTCAGCAGCACCATGAAATAATAAGCTATTGTGAAAGTTGGATGAAAATGTTCAGAATGAAAGTTGTTCACCTTGAGTGGCTGGGCCTGGGGCCAAAGCACAACTTGCTGTGTAACCATCGGCTGGCGAGTTCTCTTTCTCGTGTTTCCGTGTTCCTTCCTTGTCTCCTCTATTCCTGGGGCGGTTGGGCGGGAGCTGCCTCCTCGGGGGTTTGCTCGGTGCGTGTCCCAATGTAACGTCAGACTTGCGTGATGTCTCCCTACCCAGCTAATCCTGTGCCGTGACTCAGAAATGCTGCGATGGATGTTCGTCAGCAACATCCCATCAGCGGGATGAGGCGCTCCAAGCATTTTCTCATGCATTTGGAAAAAATGCATGCGGAGCCTGACATTTAATTTAGAAGCTTTGGGCCCCTAAGTAGAATTGACTGAAAGAGAGCCGGCTGCGTTTCATGACATCTTAGGAGGTGAAGACTTGTCTTTGTCAAGATGTAATGAAGTGCTTAGCTTTCTTCTGAGGGGCTTAAATGGCTCTTGCAGCTCTGGTGATTGAGATCTGTGACATCCATTGAGGTTGGAGTGTAGTAGTTGTATAGAAAATGTGAAATATTTGCTTTCCTACATGCATGCTCCCGCCTGGAGGACACTATGTCTGGACTGGCCACGCTTACAGGATTCTGCAAACCCCTTCTTGTTCCTCTTGCGTCTCCCTGGGGTGTTTTGGAGCAGGTTGCAAGTGCAGTGGGAGCTTCCCGACCCGCGGTGACCGGCACATGCCACACGCCCGTACCCCAGGAGTGGCTGCTCACAGCCTGCGCCGTGGCAGCCCACAGCTTTCAGGTGACATCGGGGCAGCCCCTGGCTCGAAGACAGCACCCTGCCGAGCAGGACATCCCTCGTGCCACCCCGTCCCTTCCAGACCCCACGGGGTTGCTCTGGGGCTGGTGGTCTGCACTGAGCGAGGGAGATCAGGCTGCTGTGAGACCCTGCCTGCGGGTAGGTGGGAGGTGATTCTCCGGCCGCACGGTTTGGCTGGGGTTTTCCTGCAAGGGAGGGAGAAGGCGGCTTTTTTGTGTGCTGCGAGTGCATAGCGTAGATTAAAACCATCCGGCTTCAAGGCTGAGGAGGCAGTGTGCTTCCAGCCGTGAGTCTCACCAGGCTCCCCGGCAACGGGCAGTTTTGGCTCAAGAGGGGAAGCTGAGGCACAGAGAGGGGGACGTGCCTGTGAGTCAGCAGTGAGACAGGGCAGGACGGTGCCCTCCCGACTTCCCTGCGGCTGCTCTTCTGGGAGACAGTGACCTGCAAGTCACAGCCCCGAGAGCCACGTGGAGTGGATGACCAGGCTGCAAGGGCACAGGCTGGTGGTTAAAGCGTGAGAGCAGAGACCTCTCACTTTTGCAGTGCGGGGATTGCGCGGCTCAGTGAACTGTCCTCGGCGGAGGAAGACCTCGGGCAAATGGAGACGGGCTTTTCTTAACTGCCGGCACGCTGTCCTGGGAGCCAGCCTGGGAGTATTTAAGTATCTCCCTGCAGGAAAGCTAAGAGGAGCGTCACAGTCAGGTCATCCCTCTTTTCTTCTTTGCGTTCACTTTTCAGGAGCAAAGCTTTCGTTACAGGGGCGTTGGGGTGTCACTGGGAGGTTTTAAGTAGGAGGG